AGCCCAGACGGAGCTCCGTAAGCCTTTCCAGATCCCTGTCCACCGGGCCGGGCGGATCAGCTGTGCCGTCGACACACTCGCGTTCCGGTTTCCCAGAAGCCCCCCGGCTCTTCGGCCCACGCGTTCCGCCAAGCCGCCGGAATGTGTTCCTGAGGTTACGCATTGCGGTGCGGGGCAGGGAGATTCCTGTCCTGCAGCAGACAATATTATCGAGTGTTTAGACAGATTCATTTAGCGTTCCTCACGTCACAGCGGCTGCCGGGGTGTGAACCGGAGTCCGCGACCCATAGTGCTGGTGCTCCCACACGCGGCCGTCTGGCACGAAGCAGGCCTTCAGGAATCTGCAGCAGACCCTGGCGGTGGCCTCAAAGGTGCCGGTGTTAGTTCAGGCCGGGTGCGCGGGTATCGCCATGGCAACATGGGCGTGTGCCAAGCGGCGCTCCCCTGCTTCAGTGTTGCCCGCAGCTGTGTGTTCTTGCCGCCTTTTTCCTTGAGCCGCGGATACCTGGCCATGCCCTGGGGGGGTGCCAGGCCTTCCTGCTGGGGAGGGACGCCAGACGAGAGGGTTTGTCACCATTGAGGGCAGACGGAGCCAGAAGTGACTTTCTGCTGTCAGCACTGGGGTTAGTAACGGCCTTGTTTGGGGAGGGGGGGGGCCTGAGTTCTCCGCATTCCTGAGGGGGGGTACATGTTTTTGTGTTGTCTAGCTGCCATTCGTCGCAGTGCAAATTGAGTTGTTTTGCGAGACGCGCGGAATGTGCTGTAGCCAGGAAAAGTGTGTAAAAGCTGCAGAATGTGCCAGATCTCGGAGGGGTGGGGAGGGGGGGGCAATGAGTGTCTCCAGGACAGGTCTGATCCCGCCAGGGGTGGCTGCGGGGGTGCCAGGCAGCCACGCCGCTACTCTCCACTGGTACGCACACGCCTTGATTGCTGCCCCACCATTATAAAGGCATCCCTGTGTTATCTTACGCAAACAGACAGACGGCCGCAGACGGGCGTCAAGATGGCCGGCGGGTCTGGCGTAATCCTCACGCGGCACCAAGGGCCTAGACAGCCCGCAATTGGATTAAAGGCCCGTGATCTGCGGCACGTCTGCAGATTGTGGGAGCTCTTTTGGGGAGGGGGGCCGGCCGTTACCCTGGGCCTGGTCGTCTGCATACTCATCATGTCTCAGTACTTGCCGTTAACCTACAGAAGGCTTGGGTTATGCTGTGTGACACGTCCTGTTAGTTTTGCGCATTATTTCTGATTTTCTCATTAATTGAGGAGGAAATCAAAGGAATGGAGCTGCGTGGGACTTTATTAAATGTGACCCGAATGGAGTTTGGGCCGAATCCTGGGCTCCCCGTGAGCTCCTCGCCCCGGATGAGACACTCGCTGTCAGCGTTTGACTTTCACTCTTACAGAGGGTGACTCACTGGGCTGAATTGCAGCAATTTCCCCCGTCGTAACCGGTGTGTTTAATCCCCTTCCCCCGTGCCCTGGAGCTCAGCATTATTCTGGGACGCAAAGCTGGGCCGTATGTGTGTGTGTGTGTGTGTGTGTGTTATTATTGTGGGACCACCCCCCTGGAATGAGCGCAGGAATTCCACTGTGCCCGTGTCACAGGATGAGGTGTGGAGTCACCGAAAGGGGCTTCACCCTCCGAGCTGATAAAGACGTCCAGTGGAGTGGCGGCTGGAAGGCTGGAGCCCCGCAGATGGACGCTCTCGGCCAGCCCGTAACCTTCCTCCCGTCTCACCTTAACGAGGTTCCGTCTCCCGGTCAGCCTCCCCACCCCCCCATCGCGGGCTGGGTCGGGGCCACCATGCAGGGCCCTTTGTTGGTGCCCCTTTTGTGTCCGAGGCCTGGCTAGGTGCTCCCCAGAAGGGAGGGGGCCGTCTGCCTTGAACTAATAAAATCCATTAATGACGGTGGGATGTTTGTTCAGAAAGGGGCAGGGGGGGGGTCTCCTTGGTGTCCTGGTGGTCCACGTTCGTGGGGGTTTGCCTGGGATTTGTATGGAGAAAGGAGGGGGGGGGGAGGACAGGACACAAAAGCAGGCAATGAAAGACTAACGGGACGGCATTGTCCCCCCCCGCCCCCCGCCCTGCGTGCTTTAAAGGAAGAGGCATAATAAGGGCCAGTGAGGGTCAGCTGACCTGCCTGCATCCGTGGACTTTACCGGAGTTTGGGTGGGTGGTTTGCAATAGAAAGGGGGACAAAGCTTGACGCCATCATCCCCCCCCCACCCCCCGCCCCATATCTCGCCCGGCTGACTGACCCGTGTGTAGATACATCTATCTATCTATCTATCTATCTATCTATCTATCTATCTATCTATCTATCTATCTATCTAATCTCCGTTTCATGGTTTCTCTGCACCTGCCCCCTCCTCCTTCTCTCCTCCTGACCATCTCCCCTCTCCCAGCCTTCCCCTAACTAACTTTCTCCCAGGCACAACCCCCCCCGTTTGTCCTATTAACCCCTGCCGGACACCCCCCTGCCCCCTTATACATGCTAATGAAAGGGCTTGTTCTCTCTGCCTTGAAGAATTTCCCTCCAAGTGGCAGCGGGCTGATAGCTAGGTGGGGGGGGGGGCTATCGCATGCCCCCCCCGGAGTTGCGTGTATGAGGTTCAGCAGAGTAATGTTGATGCTGTTGCTGCTGAGTGCCCAGGCCACAGGACAAGCTCCTGGCCAAGTGCTGGTATCACGCCACAACCCAGTGGCGGCTATGACATCACCGAGCAGCAAGCCCCGCCTCCGTGCACTGCCTCCCAAGATGCACTGCGCAGACTCACATGGTATCTGTCCTGAGCACATGGCACTTTGGTCCATGCCGATGGTGTGCTTGACGTGGGTGGGCCACACATCCCCTCATTTCCTCCTGGTCTTTTCTTTTCTCCTTCTTCACACACCTTCAGGCAGACCCACTGTCAGCCTGTTCTCTCTCATGGGGGGAGTTTTATTTGTTAATTTGTAAATTTCTCCCCCGATGTCCTTCCCCAAATCACTGAAATCTCTGAGTGAGAGACCCAGGAACGATGGCAGAAGTGGTTCCGAACTGATTAAAAATGCTAATGAGGAGGACGGACGACACGGAGAACGATGTGAAATCGTTTAAAGAAAGTCGGAAGGGTTGTGGAGGTCAGCACCATGGAGAATTAACATGTTCGAGCAGTGTGCCAACCCCTCCCCCAATAAAACTGTCTGTCACTGGCGTCCCCTGAAATTCCAGATTAATCATATTAATTCATCATCCATCTTCCCGCACTTTATGCTGGACAGGGTCACGGGCACATGGATGCGGGCAGACAGGCGAGATGGGATGCCAGTCTGTCACGGGACAGTTAATCAAATTAATCCATGTTAACAGCCATCTCTGGAAAGCATAGCAATGGAATTCTTTCCACCGTGTGACCCGGGTGTGATGCCCATCAGCTCACTGATTCTGGTTCTCTCCAGTACGCTCTCACCCCCCTCCTTTACAAACACTGACCTTTTACAGTCATTAAGTCCCAACTGGCCCCCATGTGACATGACAGTGACACTCCAGCTCTTATGATGGTGTGTGAACCCCCCATGTGTGGAGCAACACGATGGCTGTGGGGGGGAGGGTTGAAGGAACCTAAAACCTGAGTGACAGGAGAGTTAAAAGCCTGTCAGGCAGATGCAGTGTCAGTGAAGCCACACCCCTCAGTGTATGACCTCATGGCAGGGGATGAGAAGGGGCGGGGCAAGCAGACCACAGATGACCTGATGCTTTGTAAACCTCTTTGTCCTCATCACAGCGCCCCCTGCTGTGTATTTGCTTTACAGGGTGCTGGTACTGGGTAAGTATAGACTGTATCTTGCTGTCGGGCCCTTTCTTCAGATATCAGGGCCCCCTTGTCTGCTCCCAGTGCCTGGCTCACGGCCGGGAACGCCGCTCAATCAATGGGCACCTTCAGCTGCTCCTTGTGTCTCTCTGAGTGTCTGACTCTCAGCTCCTCTCGACACTCGCCTGTGACACTGTGTCAGTCTGTGCCTGTCCGTGTCTGTGCCTGTCCGTGTCTGTGCCTGCCCGTGTCTGTGCCTGCCCGTGTCTGTGCCTGTCCGTGTCTGTGCCTGCCCGTGTCTGTGCCTGTCCGTGTCTGTGCCTGCCCGTGTCTGTGCCTGTCCGTGTCTGTGCCTGTCTGGCGGTGTCCAGCTTCGCCTGAGCCCGACCGCACACGTCTGCGTGTGTCCCCGTGCCCCCATGTGTGCATCTTGACAGCGGTTGCCCGGCAACTCAGCCACCGTCGAGCCCGCTGTCATGATAGTTGTCATGGTAGCTGACAGAGCGGGCCAGCGGGAGGCCCTGCGGGTTTTTGCGCGCGACACCGGCCGCGCTGATGTCCGACCTTGCCTCTCAGGATCTCCTATGCTGGCGGGCAGGGGCCATTATCCAGCGTGTGTGGCGTTGGATGGAAAGGCAGTGCGGTGACACCCCCTCCAACTGCCCGGCACGGCTGAGCGGGTGCTGGTCCAGCTGCCGGCCATGCCTTGGGCCACGCTTGGCAGGAAGTCTGGGCACTGAGCGGGCAGACGGGGGGGCAGGCATGGAGCGGGACTGAATGTCCCACTTTTAAGTGTCACTGTAAACACTGCCAGTGACAGCACGGGAATATGTCGTTAGTGGGAGGTATGGAAGCCGTGGACGGAGAGGCCTCATTAAGTGGTCACTGCGACCCCCCCCCCCCTCCCCGGCGGCTGTAGGTGGGGGGGGAGGCTTGCGGGGGTATCGCTGCAAGTCCTCGGCTCTCCTCCTGCCCCCCGGGGCTGGCTGCTGGACTGGTGCTGCGACACATAAACATGTAGGTTCTGTCAGGGGTGTGGAGGTGCCACCATACCCCGGGGGGAGGGGCAGGGGAGGGGGGCAAACCGATGACCGCATCGACGTGTTTAAACTCAGAGTCGCCGCCGGCGTTTAACACGGTTGGCAGAAGTGTCATGACAACAGCGACTGAGTGTCTTTCTCTTCTCCCCCCCCCCCCGCAGAACGTGCTGGCCAAGGCCCTGTACGACAATGTGGCCGAGTCCCCGGACGAGCTGTCCTTCCGTAAGGGTGACATCATGACGGTGCTGGAGCGCGACACGCAGGGCCTCGAGGGCTGGTGGCTCTGCTCGCTGCACGGCCGCCAGGGCATCGTCCCCGGCAACCGGCTCAAGATCCTGGTGGGGATGTACGACAAGCAGCAGCCGGGGCAGCTCGCCCCCCCCCAGCCGAGCGCCTACACCAAGGCCCTGCCTTCCTCTCAGTACACAGCCATGCACCCCGCCTTCCCAGCGGGGAGCCCCACCCCCAGCCCTTCCCCTGGCCCCGCCCCAGGCATCCCAGACACTGTCTACATGCTACCCCCCAACCATGGCAAGCCCTCCACCCACAGCCTCTACCAGGGGCTGACGAAAGGCTCCAGCCCCCTGCAGAAGTCAGCCTCCCCGGTGCAGTACGAGGCCTCAGAGCAGGACGTCTACCAGGTCCCCCCCGGCACGGGTGGCCCCGGCCACGGGCAGGACATTTACCAGGTGCCCCCTTCAATGAGTCAAAATCAGGACATCTACCAGATCCCCCCTTCCATGGAGAAGAGGAGCTGGACTTCGTCCAAACCTCCAGGAAAGGTGAGAGACTACAGAGCAACCAGAGAACCACCCCTCCCCCAAGATGTCAGACAAACACACAAGAAGAGCTGGGGGCAAGTCTTTGGGTGACACCAGGGCCAGATTTTCTGACACGTGCCGTTAACTTGTGAGTCAGTCGACTGCTTGTGAATGAGTCACGTGTAGAAGCCCTGTGACTTTCTTCTTGACCCGACACAGCAATGCTTCACGGGGGGGTGGCTGGCGGGGATTGATGCTCTTTATCACAGTTGTGTGTTTTTAATGCTCTGAGCATCACGCCATCCCTCACAGCCACCCCCCCAAGGCCGGGCAGGGTGGGGGTCGGGGGTGTTAGGAGCTGCCATGATGTCACAGGGCCCTAGACGAAGCAGTAGGGGCGGGGCTGCCACTGTAATGAATCAGGACGAGCCCCCTGGGATTGGAGGAAAGCCTGTCTTGTGACGAGGGGCCTCAGGGAGGCCACACCCCCCTCACCCCCACCGCTCCATATGTGTGAGCGGAGCCGTTAAATCAAGCATAGGGATAAGGGTGGTGACTCAAGGGACACAGCTGTGACTCGAGCCATGATGGCTGTCCCTCTCACCAGAGTCCTCTGTTCCGCACACCGCACAAATCTAGTTTGGTCCCCGACGGCAACTGAATGTCAGATGTGATGTCATAACCGCTGTGCGTGCACAGACACGGACGATGGCGCACATTTACCGCTTACTGCCACCCATTGAGCCCCCCCACTCCAGCCTCACAGACCAGGTGCGGTCAGGACAGCGCTGACTTCCCGTTACAGGAGGCCCAGCGAGTGCTGTGTGGAATTTGGGAAATCCTTTATTAATAGTGTTGCAGACTGATGCAGACAGCAGTTTATTACCCCTGACTCTGGGCAGTTAGGGTGCTATGCTTTTGCAGAACGTGGTGGCGGAGTAGTGACAAGCAAGAGAGGAAGAGGACTTTTCAGGTCAGCCTCTAGATTGCCATCTCCCTGCGTGGCTTTTAATGCATCACTGCTGTGGCAGGTCAGGTTCCTGTGCAATTTAAATCTGCACGCCAGCTCTTCCTGTTTTCGCTGTAACTGAGTGCCTGGTTACTCCCCCCGCCCCCCGCCTAGCCGCTGATTTCTCATCATGAGATTAAGGGTCTCTGCTGAGAGGGGAATGACAGGCTCAGGGTCAGAGGTCAATGCCACACCCGTATCCGTCTACAGCGATTATCTGCTGCCTGGCCACCCAGGGCTCGGCTTGCCCTTCCTCACAGCAGACTCATGCCACTCCAAATGGCATCGCCCCACCTCGCTGGACCACTGGCATCGCTTTTGCAGTTACCAAGGCAACGGCATCGATGTCCTTCGATTGGTCTGCATTGGAGGGTGATGCTGCCTCCCTTGGCTTTCCCCTAAATTCTGCGCCCCCCACACCGTCAGCAGGTCATTATGTACAGGAAGACGCTCGAAGTCCCTCGGCTGTGACACTGGGCCGAAACAGTGAAAGGGGCAAATGTAAGCAGGGCTAACGCTAGTGGGGCTAATGCTAGAAGGGCCAAAGTAAACAGTGATAACGATAGTGGGGCTACAACGAGCAGGGCCATTGAGGGTGGTGCTAACATGAGCTAGACTAATGCAAGCTGGGCTAATGCTAGTGGGGCTAATGTGAGCAGAAGTAATGCTAGCAGGGTTAGCATGAGCCAGGCTAATGCTAGGATGGTTAATGCAAGCAAGGCTAATCCTGGCGGGGCTAATGTGAGCAGAGCTAATGGTAGCGGGGCTAATGTGAGCAGAGCTAATGGTAGCGGGGCTATTGTGAGTAGGGCTGATGCTAGCGGGGCTATCACACGCAAAGCTAGTCATGTGAAGTGAGGTTGAGTTCAGCAAAGTGTTTGGAGGCAGAAGGTGGGGTTGGACATTATGGAGCATTTGGAGTAACTCCAAGGATCCACCACCCACTCAACAGGTGCCATTGAAAACCCCCCCAGCCCCCCCCCCCATCAGCTGTGGAACAGGTGCAGACACTGAAGGAGCTGCCCCACACAAGCTGCAAAGCCGCCCCTGTACCCTGGCCTCGGTTTTGGTCCGCTCGTCCCTTGCGTGTCTGCGGTATTCCGTCCTGTACCCCTCAGGTTCCCCCCCCACAGCCCGCATCATTTGACCACCATTATGGCTGACATGACCCAGGTGCCGCTGCAGAAAGCCAGCGGCTGTGTAATTAACATGCTAAATGACGAGACTGTTAACCCGAGGTGACTGGGCACCCCCATCTTCCACATTCGCCGAGCGGGATGTGGAGTAGGCACGCTGGAGCACCAGATGCGCTGGAACCCGGCGAGAGAGGAAGTCCGTTCCGAAGGGGGTGCAGACTTGACTGAATGGCGCAGGAAATGGCGCAATTAGTGGGTTTTTGTTCGCTGGGAACGCAGACTTGGTGGGGGTTTCAGGTAAAGAAAGGCTTTTCACACCAGCTCACTCTTCCAACGTGAAAGACGCTGCTGGTGCGGGGGTTGGGCTGACTCACTGACGATCGTGAGCTGTTTCAACTCCACCGCTGTTTGTGTCGCCCCGGTGTCATGAAACGTTTGCTTGGTGCTGCCTTACCACCTATCCTGGGCGTTAACTGAACGCCAGCAGATCTCCCAGTATACCTGAGACCTGCCTGGTACTCGGGTGGTCCTCTTAGATCCTTATGGTTGTGGTTTCCGTTTGATCCTGCCCTCAGCGATCGGCACCCTGGCAGCCCTCAGGAGCACCTTTGATCTCCTGCACCTTTAGTTGGGTTACTTTTGGTCCGCATCGCCACCTGTCCCTCTCCATGACACTCTTTTCAGTTCATGATAAAATGTTTTTTTTTCCCTTGCTCTTTGTAGAGGCAGTAGCGATAGTTTTCAGGGTGTCTGCCTGGAGAGTTAATGTACAACCTCTGGTCTCTTTGAAGTATGACCCCAGGCGCACCTGAATGGGGGGGCGCTTATCTGCAGATCGCTTATCGGCAGGAACATGCTGCGGGGACGGGATATGGACCTGCTGGCCCATGGGAGAGGGAGGTCGAGTACGGCACCAGTCATGGATACCAACTCAACCATGCCCTCCACACCTAGACACTGTGTGCCTGGGTCATTGCATTTCCATAATCCATGATCCAAGGCACAAACTTGGGCTCTGAGGATGGAGCAGGTCATAAATGACGAGGAAGGAGGGGGACTCCTGTGATCGTTCCCTTCAGGAGCTTGTCATTCGCATGTTAGCTAATGTTGTTAGTGTCGCAAAGGATTATGGGATTTTCTTAATGGTCAGTCCCCCCCTTTACGCAAAGGATTATGGGATTTTCGTAATGGTCAGTCCACATTTTGTGCATGCTCCGTGCTTAAGGAGCGCACATCTGAGAGCTCGGGCTCCGGTTCTTCGTGCAGCCGTGACCAGTGGCCTGTACTACGAAGCAGGGTTACTGGCTTATCGGGGAAACTTTCATTGTCGGATTTTAGGTAGTCTGGGCAAAATGTAAGTGAACGAAAATATAGTCCATTTAAACCGTGGTTCCTTAAATCCGACAAGTTACCCCGATAAGCCAGTAACCCCACTTTGTAGTACAGGCCACAGGTCTGTGATTACTCACGCTCAGCACTACGAATGCTGCCATGGAGTTTGCTGCTTTTCCCGAGAAACAGCAGATGTCCTAGAACTTTGACTCTGTCATTAACCAAGACTGGAAAATCTTCTTTGATCAGATGTGTTTTTAACTTCCAGCAGCTGAGACCATTGTTGTGTGTTTTTTGTGTTGCGTTTGGAACGTATTGCTGTCGGCTTTGGTATTCAAGTTCGCAACAGTGATGCATCCCCTGAGATGCTGAGCTGCGACCCAGGTCCAGCAACTCTGCGGAATTTGGCCCTTCCCTCTCTGTGCTCCTGGAAGGTGTGTAAATCCTGCCCCGGCTCCTCCAGAGTCTGCCAGTCAGATCTGGTGATGAAAAGCCGTCTTTTGCAGCGTTTGCCCTTTCAGATGGAGCTCATTTGATTTGCTGCTTGCCCTCAAAGGTCATCCTGTTCTGTAAATACCACCCCCTCACCCCTCCTGCGGGCTGCCAGGGATTGCTGGCCCCCCTCCAGCAAGTGGACAGTGATCCTGGGGAAAAGATGCCCCCACCCCCAGGAACTTGATGACAGGGAAGGTTTGCTTTTTAATTCCTCTGGGGGGGGGGTCTTTTCCCATCCTGTTCGCACCCACAGGCTGAGGGGGACCTTCGGCTGATGTGACAGCTCTAGCTGCGCAAAGCCTGTCACTGTCACTATGATGTGTCCCTGAGCAGGAATGTTCCACAGCTACAAGGGTGGATGTGACTGATAACCCAGTAAAGAGGGCAGTTAATGATGGATATATTTAATACCCCTGTAAATAGGTCAGTATAGGGTGGATGCGTTTGATAGCCCTGTATGTCGATGGTGGAGGTGTTTGATGTCTCTGTACGTAGCTCTGTAAAGGGTGAATGTGTCTGATAGCCCTGTACGTAGGTCAGTAAAGGGTGGATGTGTCTGATAGCCCTGTACGTAGGTCTGTAAAAGGTGGATGTGTCTGATAGCCTGTACCTAGGTCAGTAAAGGGTGGATGTGTCTGATAGCTCTGTACGTAGGTCTGTAAAGGGTGGATGTGTCTGATAGCCCTATACGTAGGTCTGTAAAGGGTGGATGTGTCTGATAGCTCTGTATGTAGCTCTGTAAAGGGTGGATGTGTCTGATAGCTCTGTACGTAGGTCAGTAAAGGGTGGATGTGTTTGATGTCCTTGCTTTCCTGCCTGCTGTAATTACTTCACCACCTGCAAGATATCATTTTCTGCTCTAATAATGGTGAGAAAGACAAATTTGCTGCCTGAAACCACAAGAGAGGGAGCGAGGGGTGGAGTTCTTTAAAACACGCCGGGTTTGCTCTGGCCCTTTCATTACCCTCTCAGTTGTGGGGGTGGGAGTGGCCAGTGACCGGGGGCCCTCCTGCAAGGAGGTTTTGCCCTTGGCACAGATGTCAGCTGCT